GCAGTCTCGTCCTTTCCTTTGTTAAATAAAACACCCTGTCATAGTCACCAGCCCTGCTTCTCCAAACTTCCTGAGATAATCTCTCAAATAGCACAGAATTTCCTCTACTTGGCAACCAAAACTTGAAAACCCTCAGGCTGTCACCCTCACTGATGGTATCTCTGTTGGAGTGTTGTGAAGACAAATTGCTTTTGCTTTAGTAGAGGCTCTGATTCATGACAAAATGCATAGACCTCTCATGTAAAAACTTGGTAAGAGCATCTTTCTTTGCAGTCTGTGATGATCCTTGTATTGAAAATAGCACAAATCCTTAGAATTCTTTTTTTTTTCTGGAGTAGATGAAAGCAAAAAGAAAAACACCATGCAAGCTCTGTGGCATTTGAAAGAGGAATGAGGTAAATCTTTTGGGAGAAAGGAGTGCTTCTCAGCTTGGTTTAGTTCTGCAGACGAGACAGCTGTCTTGAATAAAACCCAAGAAAAATTCAGCAGTGATGTTTTTCCCTGCATGTAGCCTGTCAAATTCATCCCAACCCTTCCCACACCAGAAGCTGACCTCTGGAATATGGCTAAAAATGTCTGTTGATTTTTTTGCTGAGTGTTTTATATCAGCTTAGTTGTACTGAAATAAGGATAAATCATTTTTATTCAGTGTTGCATTAACTCAGAAAATACTCCTTTTTTTGGTAGAATGTGTTGCTTATTATAAATATCACAGTAAGTGATTTTTAGCATTTGTTTACAAATATTTATTTGGACTAACATTTTCTTAAATGTACTATGCTAAATAATTCATTAGAGGGCTGGCCATTAAGAAAAAAAAAAAAAAAAGACTGAGGTAGCTCTGGCTTAAATTGCAGCATTCAGATTTGCCTGGGTGCTTATTATTTCTGTACAAACTCAAGGTTCTTATACAGCAAATTCTTCTTTCTTAAAAATTGCAGAATCACTGAAAGGTCAGGGTGGGAAGGGACCTCTGAAGATCATCCAGTCCAAACCCTATTTTTAAAAATGCATCAGAAAACTGTAGTTTTAGAATGTCTTTTGTACTAATTAAGCCAAAACGCATGAATTATTAAACATGCTCATTTACAGTGCTCATGCACTTGAAAGGTTTGCTTTCATTACTAATAAGGCACAAACATAGCTGAAAAGAGGTAATTAGAGCATCAAAGGCAATGAACCATCCTGAAACTTCATAATGTTTTGCCCAAAAAAACATAATTCAGCTGAACAGCAAGAAACCAAAAAAATGCCTCCACTGTTGTGTCCAGAGGATAAGAACCAAAGTCTTCCCAAGCAGCTCCAGAGATACAGCAAGAAGCTTTTTTTCCTGCTCAAAAATACCTTCAGAATTGATGTAGGAATGGCAAAGGTGAACCCCTGTGGTTACATTTCAAAGATTGTGTTTTCAAGTCAGAAACCCATTAGTTCTTCTAAATCAAAGACTTTTTTTCTTTTTTTCATCCTGTGAGACCATTTCAACACTAGCACAGAAGAAAAAAGTTCCATTCTCAAAATTTTTCTTTGCCAGAGATTTTAATAATGTGTTTTACAAGCAGTTGCAGGGAGAGATGCTCCTTGCAGATGAGAAGGAGCACTGACGCTTTTTATGATGGGAAAATGTGTACATCACATCAAATAATGAGGGCTCTGCATAAGCCATGTCAGAGATTGTGCTTTGAGTACCCAGCTTTGGAGAACGAGTTACACTCTGTGGTTTCTCATTACTGAAATCCTGCTGAAACTTTGCCCCCAGACATTTAGAAAATTGCAGTAAAATGACTGCATATTGTTTACACAGATTATTGACTATGCTTTCTTATGTAGATTTAAGGAGGGGGGGAAAAAAAGCTCTTTTTTACATAGCTCCAAGCTCCTAAATACACTTGAGAAATGTCTAGACAGCAGCTTGAAAACCAGCCTCCATCTCTGTAAGGTTCAATGCTCATCTTTTTTGTAGTCCACTGATACCCGTGGCTCTCAAGAAGCAGCAAATGTGCCAAGGCACAGGAGCAGCTCCGTGAGGTACCCAAGGGAGCTGTCAGTGAGCCACGCTCCAGCTGCTGCTCCACACCAGCTCCTTCCTGGAAAGTCAACCAAAAAAAAAGCAGAAAATGCAGTAGAAAGAGGGAGCAGGTGTAAAATGTCCTGGCTGGTGTTAACAAGGCAGTGGCAGCCCCCCGCAGGCAGTGTTGGGTGACAGACACCTTTGGGAAAAGGCCGATTGTTGTGGGAAATGGAAACGCGGAGTGGTTTGGGTTGGAAGGGATGGCAAAGCTCATCCAGTTCCAGCCCTGCTGCCATGGCAGGGACACCTTCCACTGTGCCAGGCTGCTCCAGCCCCAGTGTCCAACCTGGCCTTGGGCACTGCCAGGGATCCAAGGGCAGCCCCAGCTGCTCTGGGCACCCTGTGCCAGGGCCTGCCCACCCTGCCAGGGAAGAATTCCTAATTCCCATTATCCTGTCTAACCCTACTCTCTTTTCATTTAAAGCCATTATTCCTTATCCTATCACCCCATGCCCTTGTCTCAAGTGCCTCTTCAGCTGTCTTGGAGCCCCTTTAGGCACTGGAAGGGGTTCTGAGGTCTCCCTGGATCCTTGTCTTCTCAAGGTGAACAACCCCAGCTCTCCTCTCCTGTCTCCAGAGCAGAGATGCTCCAGGACTGGCTTCAACATAGAAAATTTTTCGGCTTCAACACAGAAAATTTTTCTTCTTCTGCTGTGGCTGAGGGACCCCAGTGGAGCATGGGAGTGGGAGAAAAACCCCCCATTCTGACCCCAGCAGTCTCCAAACACTCCTGGCAAGAGGGAAGTCATCACTTTGGCATTAGAATTAGTCCCAAAGCTCTCACACCTGCTGTTGCCATCTCCAAGGTGCATTTTGCTGGCCCTGACAGTGAAACCCCCACAGCTGAGACAGCCAAACCAAGCTCCTCAAAACATCCATTGGACAGAGGGCAGAGAGATATGGGGAGCATCACACTCACTCCTACACTCTCTATGCCACTGGGGACGAGTGGGGTAGGAACAGAACATAATTCTCCAGGATATCACAGTGCTGCACAAGGCACAGCCACAGGGAGCAAGAGACACAAGAACTTCCCATCCTGGCTGTCTCCTCCCCTCACAGGGAATGCTCTTTGGTGCCCCACAACTGCATTTTGGAAGGACTTGCACTACAAGGGGATGCAGAAGCAGAAGAAGTGATGTGACCAGGGGGCCTGGGTGCCAAGGGGACAGGGCAGGTGTTGGACAGCACGGATGTGCCCACGGGAAGCTTGGCTCAATGCCTGGGGAGAATTGCAGTGAGTTGGTGCTTCCCTGCTCCTGTGTCCATGTCCTGCTGTTCACCCCAACAGCAGCAGCAGCAGCAACGTTGCTGTCTCAGCTGAAACAGGTCTGCCGTGCAGAATTGTGCTTGGCATGAAAGGTGCTGTAGGAGAATCAGGCAAACCAAGGAGTAAAACCAATTAAAGTTAACACCAGCCATTCCTCAAGAGGCAATCAGAGTGATTATCATGACAATCCTCCCCCTCTCCCTCCAACTCCATGGTGTGTGTCAGGCTCATCTTGAGATTCTCCCATCTTACTCCACGGGGGTAAAACACCACGTGCTGAGAGCCTCTGCTGGAGATGCATCCAGAAAAAGACATATGGTGTTAGACTGTGCCTGAGGGATTTCTATAGGAATAAACATGGATCTGGCCAAATGCAACTCCTCAGCAATTCTCTGTCTGTGACCTGGAATTACAGATAGAGCAGATGCTGTTGGTCTTTTAGCTAAGACTTGCAGTGCCTTGACTTACGTGGGAAAGCAGAGGACCTGTTTTATTTTAGGTCATTGGACAGCTTTTAGCTGGGCTAGAAAGAACAAAATTGTTATACATTGTTTTATTATGAAGAACTGCTTTCCTGGTCTGTTGTTTATGCCACTGGCACAGGTCAGCCTTAATTTCTCCTGCTGTAAATAGCTCATGGAGAGCTACACAGGTGGTGTGGTGCCAAGAGTCTCCTGATTTAAACATTCAGGATACATCCCATCTGTAGATGAGGCTCTGGGTTTGATATCAACCATTAAAAAAGCAGCTCCATACCTGCAGAGATCCGTAAAGAAAGGAAAATACTGTTCTGAATGCTCCTGTAACTGTGCTTTTTTTTCCATACATAGGTGAGGTTACACCATCAAATATTTTTAGAAGGGAATGTCATTATGTGCCTGATTGCCTCTCATTTCCTTGAAGGATCATCATGAATGCCTAACAGGCTCAGGAGTCAGGGGAAATAATGAATAAGAGGTTTTCTTGACAATACAAAGCAGAAAGTTGATGCAAGAGCTCAGGTGCCAGTCCCAGTGCATTTTGTTACCACAAAAACAGCAGCATCTTGGTGGTCACAGTGGTAAAAAATTATTAGTGAATTAAACACAGTGATGGTGGTTGACAGTTAAATTTTGTTATATGAGGACAAGAATGCTTCTGTTTTAGTAAGAAATCTCTTGAAGATTACAGCCTTAACACTCCTGCATGCACTCAAAATAGTTTAGTCATTCTATTCAAGATTGGGGCTCATTAATTGGAATTGTGAAGGTTTCCATTTAAAATGGAAAATAAAAATTGGAAATTTGCTGACCCTCCACATTTTCCAAGTTTTTGACAAAGGAAAACCACGACCTTTTCTTTTCAGATTTTGAGAAAAAGCTCCTGTCTTTTCATTTTATCTCCTTCATGCTGTGAGTGCACGTGAAGAACATTGCACTTCTCATTCCATTGTGAAGCAAATAATAAGAGCAAATTCTTGTGGATCCTCCCAAAGGGACTTTGTTGCACAATTCTGTAAGATCATAGCACAGTAAATGGCTGACAAATAATCTGTCAGTGATGAATTCTGATCACAGATCCTCCCCTTTGGCGGCCACACCAGCTCGAGCCGCTCCCGCCGGGCGAGCGCCGCGCAACGCACGACCCGAAATAAAATCTCACTTCTCCCTTTTGCCTCCCCAGGTGATCTCATGCATTTGCCACCCTACCTTAGGATGGACTTTTTATTGAACCGTGGCGTGCAGGGCACGAGCAGAGACCTGGGTTTGGGGCAAGCCTGCTTGGAGCCACAGAAAAGCCGAACCTTGAAGCGTCCCACCGTGCTGGAGCCGATCCCCATGGAGACATCCTCCACGAGAGATGTCCAGTCATGGCAACCTGGTGCCGTGGCAACGTTACCTCAGCGAGAAGGAGCTGAGCTAGGACAGGCTCAAGCAAAAATGAGCAGCTCCCAAGAATCCCTGCTGGACTCCCGGGGCCACTTGAAAGGAAACAATCCCTACGCAAAATCTTACACCCTGGTATAACGAAAAGAGCATGGCTGGACAGTGGCTGTAAATATTTACACTGAAAAACAAAACAAACAAACAAACAAAAAGTCCAATGAAAGCTACCTTTTTTTTATTGAATTCCAATATTTATAATTAAAGAAGAAGATTGCCAAAATATTTGACAAAAAAAAAATAATAATATGAACGACAGACAGTGCAAAGACTCTCTTGCTTTTTTTCTGTCTGAGTGTGAGCTTCATCTGACTGGACATCTGAATTTTTGGGTAAAAGAGTCCAGTTTTCTGATCTTCACAAGCGTTTGTGTTTTTACTGATTTTCTACGAAGTGCATGGAGACTTAAAAACATTTTAACTGGAAGTTCCATCAGACAAGATTTAAAAGGGAAAAAAAATCACAAAAAAAAAAAAAAAAAGAAAATCACCCTCTTTGTGAATTCAACAGGAACATTGATTTGGAAAAACAAAAAGTCTTTTGTCATGTTTGCACTTTTTTTTTTTTAATTAGAAAATGGGTCCTTGATTGTTCTTTTTTTGTTGTTAATTAGGATGAGTGATGTCAGTGGAGTGAGGAGATTGATTTGGGTTTTTTTTTTTAATATTAATTTAATGAGACACTCTTTGCATTTTGTCTATGCGAAATAAAAGGGTCTTCTGCCTTTATTTGTGATGTCTGCTTCCATCACCTTTTGCTGTGGTTTTCCCAAAGGGTGATAATCATGTCAGTGCCATCCTCTGAGTAATGTCTTCCGTTGCCTTGGGAAAAAGGAAAAGGAACTCAGGGGTCACATTTTTGGAAAAAAAATTGGGATTCACTTTTTTTCTGCCATGGGGCAAAGAGGGTGAAGGGTGCAAGCCCTGAGTGCTCTGAACCAAACCCACCCAGGACTCAGCATTTGGTCCCTCTCATACCAGGAGGTTTTGGTTGAGCTTCAATATTTTTTGGATCAGAAGAAATGCATTGACGTTACTTTACTTCCTCCTTAGAAATGGATCTTTATTCCATTTGGGAGCAGCTCTTATGGAAATTCTTTGCTTACGTAAGGACTGGGGTGGAAAAAAACCGACAACTTTTCCCATAATAGGAAAAATGGGAGGAAAAAAGTTATTCCAGGTCTTTCTCTAGAGGAAAAAAAAGCTTGTTACGTGGGAGCTGTCAGCTCGCATTACTTTGTTGCATCCTCTGGTTCCATGAGAAGTGATATTGCTTGTTTTATGCAGAGCATAAATGATTGAGTACCACAGTCGGTGTTTTTAACACAACAGCCTCGCTAAGTGCCTCCTTGTGCGTGTCCTGGCCACTTGTGTGTGCCCTGGCCAAGGCACCACGGAGCAGAGCATCCCAAATTGGTGCCAAAACGCTGTTCAGCACTGGCTGGAGGTGCCAGCCGTGCCCTGGCAGCAGCAGAGCTCGGAGTGCTCGGGCAGGGTGGGAGCTCCCCGCGATTTCCGTGGCTGTGGGCATTGCTACCACCAACATTTCTGCACCGTGCTCAACTCAGATTGTTCTAAAAGAGAAAAGTGCAGCAATGCCTGGTTGTTTTGTCACTGTTTTTAATGGGATTGTGCTGTTGAAAGGGCACTAAGTGAGCCAAGCACTTTAAGTGTCTTGAAATGAATCAGGTTGAGCTTGCACCCCTAGCTCTGCCAAGCCCAGGGGCTAAAGGTCTGCAGAGCTGAACAGAAGAGGCCAGAGGAAGACATCCTCAAGGTATGTACTTCTTCTAGACCTGCAGATTGCTGAGATGTCACTTAAGGGATCATTCCCCATCTAGTCTGCATGTCTGACCAATATGGTTATAAAACATTAAAAAAATTTTTAAAGTACACCAAAAAATAAACAAACCAAACCAACGCCCTCAAAAAAACCCAAGCAAAAAAAAAAGAAAAAAAAAAAGCCAACCTTTTGCCTCCAAACCAGAAATTAAAACTAATTGTAAGAATTACCCATGAAGTATTTCCAAACAGAAAGAAGTAACTATCTGTTAGCACGATGCTTTAGTTATGGGGGTGTTCGGTCAAAGGTTGGGCTCAATGATCTTGGAGGTCTTTTCCAAGCTTAACAATTCCATGAAAAAAAGATCAAGCTATTCATTTGCTTTGGTTTGATGTGTTATTTCTTTTTCCATAGAGAAAAATGGTGTTAATAAGAACCTAACTAAAACATGCAGAAAGAAATTACTTTTACTACTTCCTATTGAAAAAGCACATAAAATGAAACTTTTATAGAAGATTTTGGGGCAATTCAGTCCTATTTTATTCCCTCAAAAGTCTTTCTGCTGTGCTCAGCTTGAGGTGGATGGGGCATGAGCACTGCACGTAGAAATAAAAATTGATTTACTCGGTAGCATTCAGGACTTTTGAGTCTCCAAACACTTTCATATTCTACATTCAAAGCTTCCTCCTTGTCCTCTGTAAAAAGGTGAAAAGCTTTTGGACAAAATTTGATGCATTTGTTCCTGTGGCTCTTGGCTTCCCTCAGGCACAGGGGCGATGGGTCCTGTGGCTGCCCATCAAAACTTCAGTGGCAGGCAAGAATGAACCAGCAATGGAGGCAGGAAATAGCCACATTTTAAACTCCTGGTGATAGTGGAAATATTCCAGCATCTCCCTGCATCTACATTTGGCTGATGATCTGGAAAAGTGTCAACCGTCCTTGACTTAATGAGACTTCCTCCTCATCTGTATTCAATGTGCCTGCTAATATCCATCCTCCTTATGAACTGAGGATGCCTTTGGGGGGCCCATATTCAAATAAATCCACTGCAAGTCTCCTGCTGGTTGAAATCAGAGTGGAACCAGGCTGCTGCTTCCCACAGGAGGCCGGGAGCAGCGGGAGCCTGGCTCAGTGCCCGCATCCCGGCGGATCCGCAGCGCGTGCAGCTGTAAACACAATGTCCGGGATTGAACAGACAGGTGTCTGCTAAGGAAGGCAGGAGCCTCCCCTGAAATGGAAAATGTAAACCCCCTCCCTCTGAATTATTATAATGTTGAAATTAAGGAGCTGTCAGCAAAGATATGGGAGTAGGAATGACAGTCTGAGACACACAAGCTTCTTGGCTTGGGGCTTTCATTGCCTTTTCATCTTCCCAGCAGACAGATCAACATGGGATGGGGCTCGGAGGGCCTGCCTGTTCTACTCCCATCCAGTCCAGGCAGAGGAATCTTCTTGGATCAGGGCAGCCAGGAGCAGCTGAGCCCCTGCTGGATGCACTGAGCTGCAGGACCCAGGTGACAGGAAAAAAGCTGATGTGTCTCTGCCAGCACTATTTTAAACACTGGAAGAGAACCATCAAAATCCATGGATCCTGTAAGCCTGTATCTGGGCATGTGATATGCTCAGAATTCTGGCATCATTAAGGTTGGAAAAGCCCTCCCAGCCCATCCAGGCCAAGCTGTGCTCTGGGCACACAGCTGGGCTCACCACTTCCCCCATTGCAGCAAATGCCCTCTTGGAAAATATTCATAGAAGTGAAAACAGCAGTTGGCATCAGCAGGAGCTCTCCAAAGAAAAGCCCTGAAGGTATCAGAACATCAAGGTATCAGTGTGAGCACATCTTGCACAAAAATGTGACTCCTTCTTAGTCCCCAGGGCAACTGGGGACTTTACTTCAAAAGATGAATTTAAGAACTAAAATTCTTCCCTGTCTTCTGTCTCCTAGAAATCATACCTCCTGAGAGAGACTCACTCTTCTTCACGTTACACTCTTCCTCATACCCAACCTCAGCTAACCCTTTAATGACTCACAGATAGCAATTAAGTCTCCCTTTTTGTCTCAAGTGAGTTAGCAACTCCCTCACTCCTGCCTTTTCTAAGAACCCTTTTAGCCTTTATTCCATTACTGTTTCATTTAAATTGTCTGATTAACACAATTGCAGTTTAACTCAGTAGAGCTTTTCCCTCTCCTTGTTTTCAGGTTGAAACTTGCTTTTCCTATCCACAACCAAAGAAATTTTGGCTGTTTAGATGTTTATCTTTTGGTCATTTATCTTTTACCCTGGTGAGCTCCACAGCACTGGTACCACAGCTAAGAAGAGTTAGGAGTTATGAGCAAGGTATTATGAGGTATTATGAGGTATTATTCCACCAAATAACACAGTTGAAAAACAAACAAAACCACCCTGGGCTGCCATTTGGGACAACAGAGAGTCCAGAGGAGCTTTGTGCAACCACATTTCCCATTTTCCCAGGTAGTTGGGGGGGATGATACTCATCCCTGGATTGCAGGTGGGCAATAGATCTCTTCTTGAATCCATTATTTCAGTGATTACAGGTAAAAGTCACAAGGCTTTGACACCCAGCTCACTTTGGCAACACAGCCAGGTGTGTATAAAGAGAAGGTTTGGCTTGGGTTTTTATTTTAGGGTGTGTCCTTTTTATTCTGAAGATATGAATAGCCAAGAATTGGGGGAAAAGGGGCAGCTGGACAGGCAAACTCTGCCAGCACATTTTCCTGAGCAGGCTGAAAAACTCTCCCAGGGAAGGAAGCTTTATTTTAAAAGGAAGGAAAGTAAAAAGAAGGAGAAAAACCATACAGCCTGCTCATAGTTTTAGTGCTAGTCAGGTTATTTTAGGTCACGGCAGTTGCTTAATGGGCTCTCTTGGTTGACTGTGAAGCATTCCAGCAGGGAAAAGAGAGTGCTTTTCACCATTAATTTTCTCTGAGCCTGCCTGAGCCTCCCAGGGGACAGCTCCCCTCCCTGCCCAGAATGAAAATGCCTTTGTAGGAAGTGCAGGAGCCCAGCACACCCCGCTCACACTGCTGGGGGGTCCTGCAGAGCACCTCCCTGGGGAGGGGGCTGGACTTTCCCAACTGTTCCTCCTTTTTCCACAGTGAGTGGGGTGCTCATTGGTTTCAGGATTTCAGGACAGAAGATGCTAGGATGGACACTAAAAAAAGGCTCTGTAACTATTGCCAGGTTTGACAAGAGCCCTGCAAACTTCCCAGCAGGAATTCAGCATGGGAGAGTTTGGCATGGGGGCTCCACACCCTGCAGCACTCTCCTCCTGGCTCTGCC